TTCCACGACCCCCTACCTTGGCAAAAAATTGAAAATTTTTTTAAATTTTGCACGACCCCCTACCTTGGCAAAAAACTGAAAATTTTTTAAAATTTTGCGCGACCCACTACCTTGGCGAAAAATTGAAAATTTTTTTAAATTTTGCTCGACCCCCTACCTTGACAAAAAATTGAAAATTTTTTTAAATTTTGCACGACCCCCTACCTTGGCGAAAAATTGAAAATTTTTTAAAATTTTGCACGACCTTGGCAAAAAATTGAAAATTTTTTTAAATTTTGCACGACCCCCTACCTTGGCAAAAAACTGAAAATTTTTTAAAATTTTGCGCGACCCACTACCTTGGCGAAAAATTGAAAATTTTTTAAAATTTTGCACGACCCCCTACCTTGACAAAAAATTGAAAATTTTTTTAAATTTTGCACGACCCACTACCTTGGAGAAAAATTGAAAATTATTTAAAATTTTCCACGACCTTGACAAAAAATTAAAAATTTTTTAAAATTTTGCACGACCTTGGCAAAAAATTAAAAATTTTTTAAAATTTTCCACGACCTTGGCAAAAAATTGAAATTTTTTTAAAATTTTCCACGACCCCCCCTACCTTGACAAAAAATTGAAAATTTTTTAAAATTTTCCACGACCTTGGCAAAAAATTGAAAATTTTTTTAAATTTTGCACGACCCCCTACCTTGGCAAAAAACTGAAAATTTTTTAAAATTTTGCGCGACCCACTACCTTGGCGAAAAATTGAAAATTTTTTTAAATTTTGCTCGACCCCCTACCTTGACAAAAAATTGAAAATTTTTTTAAATTTTGCACGACCCCCTACCTTGGCGAAAAATTGAAAATTTTTTAAAATTTTGCACGACCCCCTACCTTGGCAAAAAATTGAAAATTTTTTTAAATTTTGCACGACCCACTACCTTGGCGAAAAATTGAAAATTTTTTAAAATTTTGCACGACCACCTACCTTGACAAAAAATTGAAAATTTTTTAAAATTTTGCACGACCCCCTACCTTGGCAAAAAATTGAAAATATTTTAAAATTTTGCACGACCTTGGCGAAAAATTGAAAATTTTTTAAAATTTTGCACGACCACCTACCTTGACAAAAAATTGAAAATTTTTTAAAATTTTCCACGACCTTGGCAAAAAATTGAAATTTTTTTAAAATTTTCCACGACCCCCCCTACCTTGACAAAAAATTGAAAATTTTTTAAAATTTTCCACGACCTTGACAAAAAATTGAAATTTTTTTAAAATTTTCCACGACCCCTTACCTTGGCGAAAAATTGAAAATTTTTTAAAATTTTGCGCGACCCCCTACCTTGGCAAAAAATTGAAAATTTTTTTAAATTTTGCACGACCCCCTACCTTGGCAAAAAACTGAAAATTTTTTAAAATTTTGCGCGACCCACTACCTTGGCGAAAAATTGAAAATTTTTTTAAATTTTGCTCGACCCCCTACCTTGACAAAAAATTGAAAATTTTTTTAAATTTTGCACGACCCCCTACCTTGACAAAAAATTGAAAATTTTTTTAAATTTTGCACGACCCACTACCTTGGAGAAAAATTGAAAATTATTTAAAATTTTCCACGACCCCCTACCTTGACAAAAAATTGAAAATTTTTCAAAATTTTCCACGACCTTGGCAAAAAATTGAAAATTTTTTAAAATTTTGCACGACCCCTTACCTTGGCAAAAAATTGAAAATTTTTTAAAATTTTGCACGACCTTGGCAAAAAATTGAAAATTTTTTAAAATTTTGCACGACCCCCTACCTTGACGAAAAATTGAAAATTTTTTAAAATTTTCCACGACCTTGGCAAAAAATTGAAAATTTTTTTAAATTTTGCACGACCCACTACCTTGGCGAAAAATTGAAAATTTTTTTAAATTTTGCACGACCCACTACCTTGGCAAAAAATTGAAAATTTTTTAAAATTTTGCACGACCTCCTACCTTGGCAAAAAATTGAAAATTTTTTTAAATTTTGCACGACCCCCTACCTTGGCAAAAAACTGAAAATTTTTTAAAATTTTGCGCGACCCACTACCTTGGCGAAAAATTGAAAATTTTTTAAAATTTTGCACGACCCCCTACCTTGGCAAAAAATTGAAAATTTTTTTAAATTTTGCACGACCCACTACCTTGGCGAAAAATTGAAAATTTTTTAAAATTTTGCACGACCCCCTACCTTGACAAAAAATTGAAAATTTTTTTAAATTTTGCACGACCCACTACCTTGGAGAAAAATTGAAAATTATTTAAAATTTTCCACGACCCACTACCTTGGCGAAAAATTGAAAATTTTTTTAAATTTTGCACGACCCCCTACCTTGGCAAAAAATTGAAAATATTTTAAAATTTTGCACGACCCCCTACCTTGGCAAAAAATTGAAAATTTTTTAAAATTTTGCACGACCCCCTACCTTGGCAAAAAATTGAAAATATTTTAAAATTTTGCACGACCTTGGCGAAAAATTGAAAATTTTTTAAAATTTTGCACGACCACCTACCTTGACAAAAAATTGAAAATTTTTTAAAATTTTGCACGACCCCCTACCTTGGCAAAAAATTGAAAATATTTTAAAATTTTGCACGACCTTGGCGAAAAATTGAAAATTTTTTAAAATTTTGCACGACCACCTACCTTGACAAAAAATTGAAAATTTTTTAAAATTTTCCACGACCCCCTACCTTGGCAAAAAATTGAAAATATTTTAAAATTTTGCACGACCTTGGCGAAAAATTGAAAATTTTTTAAAATTTTGCACGACCACCTACCTTGACAAAAAATTGAAAATTTTTTAAAATTTTCCACGACCTTGGCAAAAAATTGAAATTTTTTTAAAATTTTCCACGACCCCCCCCTACCTTGACAAAAAATTGAAAATTTTTTAAAATTTTCCACGACCTTGACAAAAAATTGAAATTTTTTTTAAATTTTCCACGACCCCTTACCTTGGCGAAAAATTGAAAATTTTTTAAAATTTTGCGCGACCCCCTACCTTGGCAAAAAATTGAAAATTTTTTAAAATTTTGCACGACCCCCTACCTTGGCAAAAATTAAAAATTTTTTAAAATTTTGCACGACCCCCTACCTTGGCGAAAAATTGAAAATTTTTTAAAATTTTGCACGACCCCCTACCTTGGCAAAAAATTGAAAATATTTTAAAATTTTGCACGACCTTGGCGAAAAATTGAAAATTTTTTAAAATTTTGCACGACCACCTACCTTGACAAAAAATTGAAAATTTTTTAAAATTTTCCACGACCTTGGCAAAAAATTGAAATTTTTTTAAAATTTTCCACGACCCCCCCTACCTTGACAAAAAATTGAAAATTTTTTAAAATTTTCCACGACCTTGACAAAAAATTGAAATTTTTTTAAAATTTTCCACGACCCCTTACCTTGGCGAAAAATTGAAAATTTTTTAAAATTTTGCGCGACCCCCTACCTTGGCAAAAAATTGAAAATTTTTTAAAATTTTGCACGACCCCCTACCTTGGCAAAAATTGAAAATTTTTTAAAATTTTGCACGACCTTGGCAAAAAATTGAAAATTTTTTAAAATTTTGCACGACCTCCTACCTTGGCAAAAAATTGAAAATTTTTTTAAATTTTGCACGACCCCCTACCTTGGCAAAAAACTGAAAATTTTTTAAAATTTTGCGCGACCCCTTACCTTGGCAAAAAATTGAAAATTTTTTAAAATTTTGCACGACCCCTTACCTTGGCAAAAAATTGAAAATTTTTTAAAATTTTGCACGACCTTGGCAAAAAATTGAAAATTTTTTAAAATTTTGCACGACCCCCTACCTTGACAAAAAATTGAAAATTTTTTAAAATTTTCCACGACCTTGGCAAAAAATTGAAAATTTTTTTAAATTTTGCACGACCCACTACCTTGGCGAAAAATTGAAAATTTTTTTAAATTTTGCACGACCCACTACCTTGGCGAAAAATTGAAAATTTTTTTAAATTTTGCACGACCCCCTACCTTGGCAAAAAATTGAAAATTTTTTAAAATTTTCCACGACCTTGACAAAAAATTGAAAATTTTTTAAAATTTTACACGACCCCCTACCTTGGCAAAAAATTTAAAATTTTTTAAAATTTTGCACGACCCCCTACCTTGGCAAAAAATTGAAAATTTTTTAAAATTTTGCACGACCCACTACCTTGGCGAAAAATTGAAAATTTTTTTAAATTTTGCACGACCCCCTACCTTGGCAAAAAATTGAAAATTTTTTAAAATTTTGCACGACCCCCTACCTTGGCAAAAAATTGAAAATATTTTAAAATTTTGCACGACCCCCTACCTTGGCGAAAAATTGAAAATTTTTTAAAATTTTGCACGACCTCCTACCTTGGCAAAAAATTGAAAATTTTTTTAAATTTTGCACGACCCCCTACCTTGGCAAAAAATTGAAAATTTTTTAAAATTTTGCGCGACCCCCCCTTACCTTGGCGAAAAATTGAAAATTTTTTAAAATTTTGCACGACCCCCTACCTTGGCGAAAAATTGAAAATTTTTTAAAATTTTGCACGACCCCCTACCTTGACAAAAAATTGAAAATATTTTAAAATTTTGCACGACCCCCTACCTTGGCGAAAAATTGAAAATTTTTTAAAATTTTGCATGACCTCCTACCTTGGCAAAAAATTGAAAATTTTTTTAAATTTTGCACGACCCCCTACCTTGGCAAAAAACTGAAAATTTTTTAAAATTTTGCGCGACCCCTTACCTTGGCAAAAAATTGAAAATTTTTTAAAATTTTCCACAACCCCCTACCTTGGCGAAAAATTGAAAATTTTTTAAAATTTTGCACGACCCCCTACCTTGGCAAAAAATTGAAAATTTTTTAAAATTTTCCACGACTAACTAACTGGACACGGGTCAGCAACAGCAAATGGATAAGTTATGATCATATTACACAAATAATATTTTGAAAGTAGGTAGTAAAACTTGTTTCACCATTTTATTTTTTTTACCTGCTTTACTTGCAAATTTATACTTTCTAATTTAAAGCAATGATCAGTTTTTTGATTTTCTCTCAAATCATATTCAAATGTACCATCCTTTATCTCCAATACTAGAAGCTTTTCATCCGGTTGTAATTTGTTTTGAAAAAGTGGGTCATAATACGTAGAAAAATCAAGATTTTCAAGCTAGTATTGATAAATTTTTAGTCATTTTTTTCAATTTGATTTCATATTTGAATACTTACATTTAATAATTCTTGAATACGTTTTATAGAAACCCAAGCCTCTACCAAACCATTCAAAACCCAAGGGAAAGCATTAAGTGGGCCAATTAGCATATTTAGCAGGGCCACACTTGTGTAAGTAGTTGCTGCCGTTAAAGGATTTCCTATTAGTACAGAAACCCCAAATGTTAATAAACACATCAACACTGGTGTTGTTGCCCAGAAGTATACACATATCGCATCTAAATATTTACGTTTGGATAAAAATTTCATTTCTTCATCACGGCAATCTTAAAGATGAATTCATTTCTTTAGATATCTTACTGGGCAAACGTGCAAATTACCTTTTATTTTCTTAATAAATATATCTTCCCATGCATTGATTTTTATATGCTTGGCACTTTGAATAGTTTCTCTAGTAATGGATAAACGACTGTCTTTTGCGTTCATTAGACCGATGGAATAGTTATGTATTTTGTTGGCTAATAAACGATTTATTGGTATCAAACTTGCTGCGAATAAAACTCCCGCAATGAATGCCGCTCCAACTTGAGTGTAAAGCAAATATAATGTTGTTAGAAGCTAAAAATTAGTTTGATTGCAAAAAGTTTTTGGAATTTAATTAATTTTTTTATTTACTTGAAACGGTATGCTCCAAAATGAATGAAAACTAATACAAGAATTTACTATTCTGTCAGTGTCTGTGGACATTAAATTCAAAATTTCAGGAGTTGCGTTTTCTAAACCCCTTGCTTCAATAGCCTTACTATATATGGTTGTAACAACACCAGTTCTCATTTTCATTCCTAAAATTGATATCCTCCAATTAAAATGGACACTGCAAGTGGCGCCTAAAAAAATTTTTTTTTGGTTTAGAAGAATAAATGTAGAAAATCTAATTTTTTTACCAATTGATGTAAACAACAATAGACCTAAAGCATATAAGTAAGACATATCAATCGATTCTTTTTTTGTATGTTCAGTCAAAAGTCCACCTAAAAGTAATGGACCAGCGAAACCTGCGGTGTCAGCTATAAAACGAAGTAAACCAATCAAATAGAACTCTCGCCCGAAAGCTTTATGAAGCGCCCAAAAGAACGAGTTTGATTGAAACACAGCAGTTTGCAATCGCTCTGAATTACGATTAATATTCAAGCAGTCTGGAAGATCGAACAAGTCATCTACTTTTTTTAAATTTCCAATTGAGCCTTTGGTGATTAATGGTTCAACCCAATAGAACAAAAATTTTGATGCTAAATTAGCTTCATCTTGAGCATGACCTAAACTTGCTTCATGTAAATTCGTGCCAAAATGCACATAACGATTGCTTAATAGACTCTGCTCTTCCTAAAAAATTCACATATTTATTAATTATATAAATTTCATACATGAAATCCATGTTTTACTTCATGTTGAGTTAAAACTGATCTCACTTGAACCGCAGAGCCACTAATCAGAAATGTTGCTAAATAACATAAGTCCAAAATAAAAACAGTCAAACTCCAGTTCCAAAAATTATAACTGAAACTTGTTCTTAACCATATAATATGCAGTACAAAAATAGCAGTCCAAAACACATTTATGATTAAAGGACCCCTATGACTGATCCCACCATGTTTCCTTAAAATAAATAAATATCCTAAAAAATTATTAGTTTTAAATAAAAAACTTATAATTTCATTCTGCATCTCATTTTTACAGTCACCTTTTTCAATCGCTTTCAAATCAGAAATCAGAATTTTGTGATAAGTGAGTGTAAATATCTAAGATAGAGAATGAGGTTCTTATTCTTATTATTTTATTTACTTGCCTATATGAACCGCCCACATGATTGTTTCAGTACAAGTTAACAAAACCTCTGCAGGATTTAAATGAATTTGATTAACTACATAATAAAGTGACTTAGCAATTGGAATAATTGCCAGTATTGTTGAAATAATTATTCTACTATATATTAATTTTAACTGTGTTATATTTCTTGCAACTGTTGCGGCATATGCTCCACAATAAAAAGATGATACTATCGCAAAACAAGCATAAATTGGCAATTGAAGAACTATTTCTTGAAAACATGGTAAAAGGTCATTCGTTGTGTTTTGCCAGGGCGTCAAACCTGTTGGACAGAATTCGCTCCAATTCCAACGAAAATGACCGTTCTGGTAAGTTTCTCCAATTTCAATGTTATTCATATTGATTATTTCTAAAATTTTCCTAGTGATTATCTAGAATAAGATTTTCATAAAAAATATACATACCTACATAATTAAAAAAAATTATGTTGTATAACCTTAAAAATAATTCGCTAACTGTAAAACTTAACCTTTTTGGCAATTAAATATACACGAAAAAACAATAAATAGAAAATAAATAAGAAAAACTAAAAATAATTTTTTAATTTAATACAAAACTGCGAAATCGTTCTGTAAATATAACCAAATACTCTGTATATACATAAATATTGGAATTTCTGATACAACACAATTTTCATTATTTATAATGGTATATCCCCAATTAGAACTTACTTATTCACAAATCCTTATCTACAAATTCACCCAAATTTGTAATGTCAATGTTGAACCTTAATGCAGAAGTGAGTAATTGAATTGATAGATAGCAGTTTTACAATCTAATCAAAATTTTACATTACTTAATTTGTACACATCAGCCTTTTTTGGTTTAAATAATATAAACTTTATTGCATCCACTTTTCAACAGTCATCTTAAAAAACTAGCTTGAGTTAAAAAACACAAAATTATCAATAAATATTCTTGAATAATTTTCTTAAATATTGATCCAAAAATAAGCCTTTGTAAAACTTCTCTGTATTAGCACAAACACATGAAAAATGACAGCCGCTGGGAAAGAAGAAATTGAAACACCTGATAACAATGAAACAAGTGAAAATGATATAGGCGCACCGTTATCAAATAATTTAATTTTGCTATGCAATGAAAACAATATCGAAAAAACAGAAAAAGAACATCAAATAAAGAAGTTACATGAGATTTTTAAAAATTTATCGGAAAATTCTATTATCGTATTTAAGTCGCAACAAATAGATGATCCTGAAATATCAGTTGAAGAAAAGTTTGAAATAGCAGAAAATTTGTTTAAACAATGTCATGTAAAATTTTTAAGGAAATTTGGATCATATTTAACAAAGGAGCATTTAATATTTTTGCAAGAGATTATAAATGATCCAAACGAAGACTACGAAACAGACTATTTATTTAAAAAATTTCTATCAGAAATAGATCATAGACATTCTAATATTAAAAATCGACGATTTACTGTAATGAAAAAAATGATACTTGAACAAAATGAATATTTCAGTGAAACCGAAATGATGAAAAGAGAACCACTTCTATATGAGCAACTTGTTGGCCAATATCTAACTGAAACAGAGAAAAACGTTCGTGATGGTTTTAATCCTAACACAAATTTATTTTCTCAAATACTTTTGGAAAATTATGATCGTGACCAATATGATAAATTACGTAAAGAACATGAATTGGTTGAGGTGGAAATGGAAAAAAATTTAGATGATGAAGAAGAATCGACTTGTGAATCAACGAATACAAAAGAATCATTTTCTTCTAGCAAAATAGCACATAAAAGTGATGGGAATATTAGTGACGAAGAAATGTTTCCAAAAATTCCTCCATCATATAAAAAGCTATGGGGCGATTTTGATGACGAAAATTCTGACAATGATATACATAAATGGCTTCAAAAATCGAAACCAAGTACCAGTATTAGTTGTTCTAAAAAGTTATGCAGTATTTCTAAAGTCAAGCGAAATAAATTGGATTCTAAACAAAAGTACGTAACAGCAGGAGAACGCGAAATGCTAAGACAAGAATTTTTAAGTATTATGAGATCTAAGTTTGTTAATGGTTCAGATAAAGACTTTGATTACACCAATATCGATAACAACACTGATTTAGATGACTTGGAGCAGATCAATCAAGATTGTGAAGATAAATATTTTGAGGAGGATGATCTTGAAGATCATAAATATGAAAATAGATCTATTGAGAGATTTGACGATCAAAATGAATCAGAAGATGATTTAGATATTTACATGAAAGGTTTAAATAAAGTCGCGAATCAAATGCAAAAGTTTTAATTTATCTCGTTTCATTTATTAGTAAATGCTTGTAGGTACCATTTATGTTCATGTATAATGGTAATAGGTACCTTTATTGTAAGAATACCTTATTTTAACCTACAAGTTTTTAATGAAAATAATTTTTTTAATTTGATGACGAACCCTGCAATGGGTTCTTTAATTAATTTTAATCTTGAAACAAAAATTTTAATATGTATTATAATTTGACATACGTGGAATAATGCCGTTTGGAATAATGAATTTTAACCATTTTGACGTAATAAATCTTTCTTTAAAAGATTATTTTATTATAAACTGTTATTTTGAAAAAATAACATAATTTGGTCTCCTGGGTTATGAAGCTGTAAGGTTTTCGTTTGCGTATATAAGCTAACTTATATGAAATTGAAAATTTAATATATGCTACAAAAGGATGATGACTGAAATTCCAAATTAAATTGTGTGTACTATTTCTTTTTGTAAAACAAAATCAAAATTCAGTTATAAAAAATATTTAATTACACACATATGTATGTACATAGTTCTTTCTTCATAATACTATTCAGATATAATTCAATCTGTTGATGAGGTTGGTTGAGTTGTATGTGCATATAATTGATATCGTCAATATTTTCTTCATCTGTCAAAAAAAGATTTTTTTGTTTTCGTCCAGAAAAGACATAAACTTTTATAATTAAAAAATAGTATTTCAATTGAAATTCAAACCAATATATGTATATGTGACAATAAAAAATTTATGGTGTGTTCATTAAATTTATAACATAAATTTTTCTTTAAAAATGATTATCTTGCAAAGGTTATTGTATTATATAATTTCATAATAGTGTTTACATAAAAATCTATGGCGTTATATAAATAAGTTTAAAGATTTGTTTTTCCAGAAGTCCCCTCTCTGCATTTACTACTTTTTTAATAAAAATTTTGATGCCGATAACCTGTTTAAACGTTCTGAATTGAAACACTAAGTATATTTTGACACTTGGTTATTTAGGTAATGATTTGTAAATGTGTTTAGTTTAGTAATTTATAAAATATAATATTTTTATTGTATCACTGATTTAACTCTTCATTTTTGAGAAAATTGTGACTCAAAACTCATAAAATTTTTATAAACAACATGATAAAAACGGTTTAGTAACTATTATTATAAGAAATGAGTGATGTACTGAAAGATCAGCAAGAGCGTTCACGTAAACGTAAACAACTCTTAGCACAAACAGTAATTAATATTTTGTTTTTTATAATAAAATTTTAACATTAAACTATTTGCAGTTGGGGCTTAGCAGTGTTGATGAACTAAAATATGTTTTAGGAACAGCTGAAGAAGCATGTTCTTCAAGAACCAACAAAGACGATGATGAAGATAATATAATCGAATCAGCAAAAAAAAAATCTCAATCTGAGAACTTATTTTATCGGGATTCATCTACTTTTCTTAAAGCAAGTATTAACAAAAAAAAAATGTTTTGAATACATGTTTAATTGTAAAAAACGTTGACTATTTTAAATTTTATTTTATAGGGTACACAATCATCAAATCCTCACAATGATTACTGTCAACACTTTGTGGATACAGGTCAAAGACCTCAAAATTTTATACGTGACGTTGGATTAGCCGATCGCTTCGAAGAATATCCTAAGTTAAGAGAATTAATTCGATTAAAAGATGAACTGATATCAGAAACTGCGACACCACCGATGTATTTAAAAACTGACGTTAAGCAGTTAGATTTTAAAACATTAGGTACAAAATTTGATGTTATTTTGATTGAACCGCCCTTAGAAGAGTATGCTAGAGGAACACCAGCTGTAGCTGGAGGATCACCAAGAAATTTTTGGTCATGGGAAGAAATTTTAAATTTGGATATTGGCGAAGCGGCAGCACATCGAAGTTTCGTGTTCTTGTGGTGTGGAAGTTCAGAAGGTTTGGATATGGGCAGAAATTGTCTAAAGAAGTGGGGCTTTCGTCGTTGTGAAGATATTTGTTGGATACGAACCAATATTAATAAACCCGGACACTCAAAAATTCTTGAACCTAAAGCAGTCTTTCAACGTACAAAAGAGCATTGCCTTATGGGTATAAAAGGAACTGTAAGGAGATCAACAGATGGTGATTTTATACATGCTAATGTAGATATTGATTTAATAATATCAGAAGAAGAAGAATTTGGAAGTTTTGAAAAGCCAATAGAAATTTTTCATATCATTGAACATTTTTGCTTGGGTAGACGACGTCTGCATTTATTTGGAAGAGATTCTAGTATACGTCCGGGGTGGTTGACTGTATCGAACGAAGTAGCAAATTCGAATTTTAATGCTGAATTATATGCTAGTTATTTCTCTGAGTCAACTACGACTGGTTGCACTAGTAGAATCGAAGCATTGAGACCTAAATCTCCTCCAGCAAATGGTAAGGTAATAAGGGGCAGAGGAAGGGGATTTACAAGAGGAACTTCAAGAGGTGGTCGACCACCAACAAGATAGGAATTGATGAATTTTGACTGGTCAGTTTTTTCGTTTTTTTTTAATTTTTACAAAAATTTTAATATTTTTTTAATACAAGACGAAAAAAAGAGTAATAACAAAAATTCTTATATTAAAAATAAATTATGACAAAATAAATTTGTGTTTACTCATTTTTTTCGATACTTGCCGGAACTGTTTTAGAATATAAAACGGTGTTTTTAATTTGTGTTAATATTTTATTTCTCTTAAGAAGTAAATATGAAATGGCTGTGAATAGCAATATAATATTATTTAAGTATGTATATAATATGTATTATGATGACTAGTTAAATTGACTACATGTTTAAAACGGAAATATTTTCCTTTTAAGTGGTTTGTTAAGACCAATATATATGTATTTGCTTTGACAAACTTGAACTGCACTTAACAGTACAAAACGCGTGTCGAAACATCTCCAATGCTCCGGTTACTATTAGTAGGCTTATATGGAGGTGGGTTTGGCCTCAAATAATTGTTTCCACTTCTTGGGCTGGTTTCACCATTACGACACAAACTGTTGTTAGGACTAAAAATTTGAAATTTTGTTTTATTATTCATTTTATACATTTCCTTATAATATTAACCTTTGCGATTGCAGACTGACATTATCTAGTAGCATATTTGGATCTTTTAAACTCTTCAGAGTCGTTGTAGGTTGATTAGTTGTTTCTCCAGAACAATGCACCATTTGAACGGTTTGTGTGGTTTCCGGTTTTGTAGAACTGAGAAACAAAAGTATTGCAAATTTTGCAAGAAACAAAAGTATTGCAAGTATTTTAATATAATTCATAATATTGTTATAACTTTAAAGTACAATATTGATAATAACTATAATAAGGTTAGTAAATAACAAAGGGTTTTCCAATATATAAGTAAGGAAAGAAAAAGAAAATAGTTGGTCTTAAAATAATGTCGAATATGTTTAGCAATTGGTATAACTGCGTGTAATTAAAAGAAGCAAATATAAAAGAAAACAATTGCATTTTCAAAATAAAAAATACCTTAAATAATCTTCACATATATGAAAAATGTTTTCAAGAAAAAATTCGGAATGCAAATCAAACCTAAATAAAAAATAAATTTTGATAATAATAAAAAGAGGACAAGGTGCATTCTTTTTTTTTTTTAAATTAAAAAAAATGTTTAATATTTACAACTTTTCATGGTGAAAACATAATGCGGCTGAAAGTAGTCCAAATAAAACTGAAAAAATTGCTCCAGGTATAGCAAAGGCAAATGCAAATTCATCAATATAATTACGATGAGGTGTTTCTTCTTTTGATATTCCACTCCAACGATTTAAGCGCTTTAATTCTCCGTGTGGTCTGCTATCATGATTATGGAATAAGATTTCTGGAGAGATTTCAATGCCAAGGATTTTAAACGCACACCAATCTAGTTTAAAACCAACATTTTCAAAAATTTTTTGAACTGAAGTACGTTTGTAATTGCACGTTTGAAGTTTATAAAGTGGTCGGACTTCCTCTTGCAATTCTTTCAACCGATCGGAAAAAGGAACAGAACTTCCCAAATGAACAACAACTCTAAAAATATATGTTTTTTTACTGTGAAATTTTTCTATATAGAATTTTACAAACCCTTCTCTCTGTTGAGGTCTTAACGGCAATCTTGCCCCCATATTAATTGCAGATTCCATAAAAACCAACTGTAAATCTTGCTGACTTTGTGGCCATAAATCTTTTCGAAAAATATTTTTTAAATTTTCTACTCGACCCGGATCCATGAGATGTACCCAATTCAAATTGTCAATTTTCATTTGAATTACATTTGGTGAAGGAAATTTCGGTGAAATATAAAGTGATACTGTTATTTTTCTTGTTTCATAATTCTTTTTGTTTAATCCAACGATATCCAAACGTACCTTATTTTGGTTAAAAATATTTAGGGAAAGTCCAAATCAATTGGGCAATTTTAATTTTGAAAGTGGATGAAAGTTAAATTTAGTTATATTCACCTCTTGCCCTGATAAACTTTCCGGAGGAGTTCCAAACAAAAATCCAGCATGATATTCACTACTGTACCTAAAAAAATTGAAAATATTTCAAATTTAAATTTTAGAAGAACCAAAAAAAAAAACATCTGTGCATTTGAGCACATATGTATGTACATATATGAATCTACTTACATATAACGTAACCAAGAAGGTAAATCGGGACATCCTTCAAGTGATGGTCGATATTTAAACTGTTCTGTTAGCTGCTCTGTCCAATTAAACATGTATGCCTCAATTTTTTTAGTAAATAGCTCTCCAACGGGAGCTCTATCGAATGGCATCGCATTGCAAAAAGTCAATAACAAAACAATATAGAAGTTTATACGAATTAAAACAGCTACCATATTCTTTTGTTGTTTTAGATTTATGCTTTTTACAATAGATCTCGTTTGTGTTCTTGAGTAAATCAAAAGAAAACGGAATAAAGTAGATCCCTATGTATGTATATGAAATTTTTTTTGAATTTTTTATAAAAATTATACACGAATATAGTATAGGATGCAGGTTCCAGGCACCTGGATACTTATCCTTTAAAGATTTTTTCCAGAGGGTTATTATTTTTTAGATGGATACCTAATAAAGACTACAAGTTCTTAAATGACAATTTTCAATACAGGAAAAGTCGTAACATACGGAAAATTCTTTTGACTTTTCCAGCTTTATGTAAGCTTTTAAATTTCCACATTCCTTCTGATGAATTTTATTTCAAAGCTTTATTAGTGTATACATATGTAACAATATTTCGTTACTTATGCATACATATATATAATATGTAATATATGTATGTACATGTTAATATAAATATAAGATATAAATGTGTGTAATGGAAATGAAAAATTGCTTGCCTATAGTTAAAAATTTATTTGTTTATATCCATGTTTATATCCAAATATGTACATACATACTTACCAAAAGTATATGTTTTCAATAAGTTAAATAGCACTTTTTATTTTTTGAATAAATTAATTTTTTTTATTAAATAATTTTCATTTATAGAATTGTATACATGTTTAATTATTTTTATTACAATGAGTCATCTTCAAAATCAGTTTTGTCGTTGGAGTTGTTGGGTATACCTGCAAATTCTTGTTGGAAAAATATACTATTTTTCATTCTTTCTAAAAATGACTTTAAAAGTTTCTGATTTAAATGATCTGTCTGTGTTGTTTCTCTCACAACATTGTCTTGTTGGTCAAGTTCATACAGAGAATTTTGTATTCCAGAATCGTGAGATTGCAAATTATCCTCTGCAACTTGGTTTTCCTTAAAGGTTGCTATGTTTGAATTATCTTCAAGCCCTGGCATTCTTCCTAATATAAGTTTTTCTAAAGACTTTTATAGTTTAATCCTATTAAAAAAAAATTAAACAAAATAAATAGTAATCTGTGAAATAAAATCAAACAAAAATTTCAACAATTTTGACGTTTTGTAGCATACATATGTAAGTACAGTTTATTAACCAGGGCTGACCATATTGAATTGTTTGAAGATTATGTATGGGTGTGCAAAACAAAAATACAATAAAGATAACCGTATACGTTTATTTGCCTTTTTGATGCTTCAAATAAATTTGACTTAAGTGTAATTTCAGATTTGGTTTACAACACAGAATTTTCCATGCAATTTTGTTATTTGATATTTCATTAGCAAGCTTCTGATATGTTTTAACCAAAATTTTTTGCAGTATTGCCACTTGCAACATTATTTACTGCAACTACGATTCAACAGTTCAATTTCAATTGTAGCGTTGCCACTCAAAAAATAAATTTCAATATCAAATAATATGTATGTATGTATTTATGTAATGCAGTGATTCCCAAAGTGGTCTATATAGACCCCTGGGGGTCCATTAAAACCTAGTAGGAATCTGCGAGGACGAAAAAAAGAATGGGGGTCTATCAAATTAAAATGGGGATCTGCCAAATAAAAATTTATAAAAATATCTATTCAATGTGATATATTTTATAAATATGTGATAATATTAACAGAAAAAGCGTGTGATATACATTAGTAACGGTATTAAATTGAAATTGATATTTCCATAAAATGCTCTGAAAAATATTTTAAATATTTTTGTACGTTAACAAAAAATTTGCAATAAAGAATGAAATTTTGTAAAAAATAAATCATTTTGTTAAGTTCAAATAAGAATACTATTTTAGAATAAATTTAAAAACATTAACCAAATACTTTTTATTATTTCGTACAAGTAGAGCTCACTAATTTAAAAGAAAAGGTTCCATTTTTTATTTTTAATGTAAGAAAAATTTCAAAAAATTTGTATTTTTAATTATCTCACATTAATTAATTTATTATCGTTCTAACAAAACAAAGTGTTGACATGTCAAATAATATAAATAATAATAGCAAAAGAAAAAAAATAATAATTATGTAGTATTTTACGTGCATAACTTTTAATTTTTAATATTTTAATATAATACGGACAGATTAATTTGTTTGATTTTTTTGGACGTTATCATAAATTTATCTTTTATAGGTAGAAAATAAAAAAATTTCGCCTTTTTTATTAATAGATTTTTTCCCAAAAATGTGTATATAAAGAAAGGCTTGATAGACTTTAACACTATTACTATATAAAAATTGTTATTTTTCCGAATTTTTTGTTAAAAGAAATTCGAACTGGAATTATTTGTTGGATTTCGTCCACCTCCAGATATTCTCCCAAAAGTTGGTTTATTACCAGAGCCACGAGCAGGCGGCATTGGTCTTCTGGCATGTCGTAATTCTCTATCAACTTCAATTTCTTCTAACCGTTGTGTTAACGTTAATTTTTGTTGAACTGCTAATCTTAGCAATTGATTAAGTGTTTTCTTTTCCTCTTCAGCTGCCTCTAATTGCCTATTCAAATCATCAACTTGAGTTACATATTCTTCACAACGAGCTGCAAACATTGCACGTAAACTAGAAAATGTAGCCGCATCTTCTTTTAATATTTTCAATTCATTTCTTAATTTCGACATTGTATCACTAACAACCAATTTCTCATTTTCATATTTTGATTTCAAACTTTTCAAAGCAATTTCCGCTGTTTGCTTATTAGATTTAAGTACGGTACGTAATGTTGCGATTTGTTCACGTTTTGTGGATAAAAGGCTCTTAAGTTTGATGATTTGTTCTTGCAATTCTTCAATTTCTTCGCGATTTTCTTTATCTTCAGATAGATTACTTCTTGTTTTGTTTCTGTTTAGATCGATCGTATGTTCAACGGCGGTTTTTAGATATTTAACTTGATCATTAATAGTATCTATATGTTTTTTGATTTCAAATGAATCAGCTAGAGCTTGTAGATCTTCAACAGAACTAAAGCTTGTAATAAATATGTCTGATCTGAATTGCGACTGAATGGCAGTTAAAGAATCATTTTCCATATCTTCAGTCTTATGATCTAAGAGCACACGTGTTGGAGTTTCGCCATTTACAGTGCAAACTAAATGATATAACTGAGCTAGGTCTTCTGAAAGACCTAAAAGGGTATTTCTGGCGGAATTAAGACTTTGGCCGGCTTGTTGTGAGATACTAGTTAATGTTTGAACATCATTTTGTAATTCTAGTGATTTTTGTTCTGTAGTTAATAATTTATTTTTCAAATTTGTTATTTCATTACGAAGATTAACCATGGCGTCTGAAAAATTTATACCATTTGATAGCTCGTTTATGTCAGCTTTTAAAGTTTCAACTTCTTTTGAACTGAGTGTGAACCAATTACTATAATATGAGAGATTTTTGCGCAAATTATCCGCTATTTTGTCTTCTGGAGATTTATCTGGATTCTGATTGATATTACCTTCTATTTGTTTTTTCAAGTGAGCTAAGGAATCGACATGTGCCGCAAGCAATGCAATTCTTGACATGAAATTTTGTATTTCACTTTGACTTTTATCGAGATTTGTTTGGGCATCGCGTAAGCTTGAGGTTAAATTAGTTTTTTCATTTTCAAGAAATTCTAATTGCTTTTCAAGTTTTTTCAGTTCATTCAAATGAATTTCTGAAAAAAGATCTACTTTTGTTCCATCCGGAGTTTTTAAATCACCTAAGTCAGCTTCGAAACGTTTTAAAGCAAGACTTTCTTCTTCACCGTCGCTATTCCCCGATGACTCTTCTAATCGAATACTATTTGCTAAACTATTTATATTGAAAATTGATTCACGATTGATATGATTATCCAACTCCTTCTTCAAGGCATATTTAGCTTCACGTTCAGCTTGTAATGCCTCGAGAGCTTCTTCCATCTGTTTTTCAGCAATTTTTTTTAAATTTGCGAATTCTTCAACTTGCGAATTCAGTAGTTCAATTTCTTCGCTAAGTCGCCTGATTTCGTGTTTAGCTCCTTCAAATTCTACTTGAGAACTTCTTAAACTTGATACCTGTTTTTGCAATGATATATTTTCTTCTTCTAGTTCAGAATATTCACTTAACATTTTGGTTTCTCGATATTTTAATTCTTTCAATTCAGCTTTTATTCTTAATTTTTCAGCTTCTGTATCAGATTTATCACGACCGATTTCGGAATTTTCTTGAAGCATTCTGTCGCGTTCATTTGTAACACGTTCAAGTTCATGTCGAAGTTGTTTTACTTCGTTCTCCAGTTCGAGAATTTGCAAATTTAAAGACGTTTCAATAGCTGCAGATTCATTCAGAAGGGCATCTTCCTGTTCAATACCAGTTTTCGTTGTTACTTTTTGTGATGTTTGGAATTTAGCTAATGCTTCTTGAGTTATATCCAGTTCATGTTTTGTATTATCGTAAAGTGTTTCGAGTTCTTCACATCGAATTTGGAGTTGCCCTTTTTCTTCCAATAAAACTAAACCATATTGGGCAGATTGAATCTTTTCGCTGCTGGCCTGGTCAAGTTCTCTGGATAGTCTATCAATTTCAGCTTGTAAGTTCTCCATTGTTTGATTAACACTGTCAGAGTTAATTGTTGACGACATTGTGCTATTTTTATTTTACGTGGGCACTTAATTCAGGTGCTTTTGTTTACTTTAAAAAATAACAAAATAAAAAAAAAGTTAAAAATATATATCGTATTGGACTCAAAAATTTTATTAACTAACTTAAAAGAGCATCTCTCAAAGCCAATTAGAATTGTATTGGAATTCCAAATCTTTATACTCCACTTTTCTACAGCAGTTATTGATTATTTCTTTTTCAATACAAGTGTTTAAAATGCTGATATCACATTAAAATCGGTAATATTACTTTGTGCTTATTTTTTAATGCTATTGAAGTAATATTTGGTGGACAATATAAATATGATTTTAGATAAATTTATACTATACATCAAATTTTCTCAGGATGATTAAATGATGACGGAAACACATTCGTTGTTGTTGTACTTACAATGAAATCACAAGAAAAATGATTTAAGAAAAAAAAGAAAAAAATAAAGTCAAATTTTGACAGCACCCATGCATATTGTCAAATCTTAAGTTTACAATTTTACTCAAATGTCAAATATTTCAAACCTTCTTCAAAATTTTATTGAAATTGTTTATTAAACGACCAGCTAAGTCAATAAATTTCATTACAAAAAATAAATTGGGATTTTTTTTTGCTTCTGTTAAAACATTTGGAATAAGTTTCAACAGTTATTCATCATGAAGAAATTATTTGAAAAGGATACAAGAAAAATTGAAAAGCAAAGTTAGGGAGAAATTTTCACTTACATGCCTTGCTCTTTTGCAAGATACAAGAAAATTCAATTATGATTACTTTAATTGTTTATGTTGAGTTAAAATCAATGTATCCATATTAATTTAAAAAAAAAATAAGTTCCCTCATTTACCTAACCAGTTATGTCGATTGTATTTGCCAAAGAAATTAAAGGGTTAAAACATTTAATATTTTGACATTCAAAAGTTTGACGTCAAAAATACTGACATTTGTCAAAATTATTGCGTTGCTATAACTTTGAAAGCCGCGAAGTTTTTTTTAATTTATAATAGAAAAATCTTTAATGTAAACTAAAAATTCTTTTAACTTCTATTTGAAAATTAAAATCTATTTCTTTGATTATTAATAAGGCATTAAAATTCAATTATTTCATGGAAATCAAAATAGAAAAAAGAAAATTTGAATAGCATAAATTTTTTTTTGTAGTGAAAATCGATTTGTGTGCGTGTGTAAATATTTTGTTTTGCTTGCGCATCATAACTATCACTTTACAGAAACATGAAATTATATTTTTTAAAAAGAAATTGATGTTGATACAAAAATAAAAAGAGAAATTACGAAAATAAATGATTTGTCACTGGAAAATAAAATTATAAAACTAAATCAAAATGGATACGAATTGCAAAAATAACAAATTTAATTTAGATCATGTTTACTGTCATTCAAACGACAGTAATTACATTAGAGCAACAAAATCAAGTGGAACTGTAGATATTATGACTTTGCTAAAAGAAAACAAACAATTAAAAGCAATGTTATTATTACATTTAGATTTAATTCAAGAACAATCGGATCAGTTACAAGCAAAGGATAAGTTATTAGCTACTTTAAAAGAAGAAAATGAGAATATGAAAATAAAAATTGAAAATTTAGAAAGTGAGAAGAATGCAATTAATAAGTTGGGAATTCCAGTGCAAGAAAATAATACCAAACTTAGCATCGGAATTGGTGGACGCAACTCTTATCACAGAGTACATGGAAAGGCAGTTGAGTCTTCTGACCTTTATAAAAAGGTTAATAAAAATACTTTGAACTTTAAACATGAAGAAAAAAAGGAAAATTTGGCTGAATATTCAAATATTGAACAGAAGCAAAAAAGCAAATTGATTCTTAGTAATGAAAAAACTTCGACAACTGCAACAATAACAACTAGAAGTAGGCATACACCCACTCCACCCGGGGGGCAAATTCAAGTACAAAGTGATAAATACAAAATAGTAGATGAAAATTCTAATAGCGGTGTACCAAACAGTGGGAGTATTATTGGTCAAAGCAATGGGAAACCAATAAGTAAGATAATGTTACAATTACATCGCGTAAAAATACCTGACAATATATTACCCAATAAATTAAATAATGTTGATGACAAAAGTGACTCTGAAATAAGTAAATAAATTCATTGATTGCTTATGGTTTATATTTGTAATAAATATTTTTTTAGGTTCATTTAACATACAACTTGCATCAATATTTGAAAACAAAGAAGGGTCGCCGAAGTCTCCGCTATGCTCACCTCCTCTTTTACCACCTATTACAAGGTCACCAAAATGGTTTAGAAAAACTGCTAGTCCCACAAATTTATCATTATCAGTACCATTATCAAAGAAATCCAAGGTGTCTAAAATGATTTCTGAAACAAAAATTGAGCCTTTAGATTGTCCTTTAAGTCCACTTCTTGATCCAAAAAGTGAAATTGAAATAAAAGAAGAAATTAAGCATGAAGATACGGAAGACGGATTTAGTTGTGAATCGTCAGGTCCAGATATTGAGCCGATTAGAAGGTTTATACGTTGTAAAAGCAGACAATCCATAGGAGAGTCCTCAGCAAGCAGTGCTCAACAATTATCAGAGACCATATTATCAAATAATAGCACACAAGATTCGCAAGCACAAGCTCTTTCCCCAGTATCAAAAACATTAAGTAGTGGTTCGAAAAACATGAGTGTCTCAAATAATTCTCAAATAGTACAAATTGGAAATATTTCAAGTTTTCCGGATCGCTGTAGCATTAGTGATAGTGGAAGGAGGAAGGTGTCGTATTTGAGCACGCGTAAATTGTATTCAGCTCGGGAATGGACAACTGAAGGTATACCAGCCGAAGAATTTACTTCTATCAAAGAGGAAGAAGAAGCACTTAAAGCTGAACAGCCAATGCTTGAAATACCAAAATGGACTGTTAAAGAAGTGTCATGTTTATACAGCATAGAGAGTACAGAAGATCTTTCAGATGAAACTTTTCGTAAAAGACATGCTAAATTAGAACATGATGAGAAACGACGTAAAAAATGGGATGTGCAAAGGATACGTGAGCAGCGAACCATTGAACGTTTAAAACGCAGGCATTGCAAGGAAGAAATAGTTGAAACTGAAAATCAAGAGTTGGCATCATTTTATCCTACACCTGATCAAATAAAATTCATTCAAATTTCAGAGGAATTACCTGTTGAAGCATTCGGTGGTGAATTAATACCCCGATTAAACCCCAGCGAATTCCAGTTACCATGGAGAAAGCATTCTCATTTAAATAGAATATGTGAAACAAATTCTGAAACTCAAACAGATAACTTACAGCAATCATCTAAATATCCTCCCTATCATAGTCGTCATCAAACCAATCAATTAAACGATAGTTCAATAACCGGAAGTGGTTCTGCTACTGGTGTTGGAACATCATCAAATACTGCAAGCACATTTTTATTTATTAAAAAGCGAAAGAAACCACAAAGTACATGTACTAGGAGACAGCACCAACAACTACAACAACAGAAAATCAATCCAAATTCATCTAATATTATTAATAATAGTAATTTGTCATTCAATTTAAATGTTTCTTCAACAAATAAAAATGTTTTATTTGGCACTGTAACAAGTCCAGGTCAAAATAATGAAGATAAAAATTTAATAATTGGTGATTCTAATGTTATTGAAAAAGTACAACATTCATCCAATTTAAATAATGAAATTTTTAATTTGTAAATAAATGTGTATATACATACATACTTTTTAAAATTTGATGAAATTGATTTTTCTCAATGAAAACTTTAGATAACGTTAAGTCATTAAAAAATTAAATTATATGGTATAAATGATAATAGTAATAATAATAATAATAATAATATAAATTATAAAAAATAAAAACAAAAAATTAAATCACTCAAAAATGAAAATATTAATTATAAAACTATGTAGAAAAAATAATACTGCATTTCAGTTTCGAACTTTAAAGTTAAATAGTGTAATTTCAGACAGCGCTTTAAGTAAAATGTACAGACATTATAATATATATATTTTAAAAAATTTTTAAAATAATTGATTTAAATGCAAAGTTGATAATTATAAAATTTACAGAATAAAATTTGACGAATGTTATACTTAGCGAAAATTTTAGCTTTCAATTTGAAATTGTTTTAATCACCCATATTCTGTTAGTCGCGTCATTTGACTTAATGGATTGTTATTCCGGAATTTGAAATTCTATACTGAAGGCAAAAATAGATTTTAATAATATCCCATCATCTGAAGTGATGGGACCAACAGAATATTGGTGAATATTTCCATCAATTTCAAGTAATTTTTATAATTATCTAATTATGCATTTTTGTTTTTTTTTCTGTTAAGATATTGGGAACAAAAAAGATTTAAATAAAATACGAATAATAAAATTTATTTAATTATAATATAAATAAGAATTTAGTAAAAATGATGTAAAAAATTTTAAAATATTTGGACTAAAAATTAAAAATTATTTTTGTACTCATGAAAAAACAAATATAAAAATTTAAATTAATTATTATTAATTATCGGTGATTAATAAATAAAAAAAATTTTTAGAAAAAATTAAAGTTTTATATTTTTGCTTGTAAAGAGAAAAATTTTTTTTTTTTTTTTAAATTTTAATTAAATTGAAAATTATTAGTTTCGTTTTGGAAAAAATAAATTTCTTTAGAAGAAAATTAAATGACAACAATGCATAACATACCGAAACATAAAAATTATATAAAATAAATAAAATTTTTCTTTCATATACTTTATCATATTTGTTATAACATTTTTTAAAATTTAAATATTAAATGTTTATTTATAGAAGGATAAATTATAATTAAATTTATTAGATTTCCTGAACTCTGATGTATGGATTAAATGTATTATTTTTGTTATTCTGTTCTTTTGTTCATCACCATAAAGTAAATAACTAAAAAAAAAATTAAATTTCAATCAAAAATAAATACTTTTTTTTTTTTAGCAAGATCAAAAAATTTCATTAAATACATAAGAACTAATAAAAATATAATTATGTTACAATTAATTCTTTGTATAATATTATGATTTTTGAAATTATATAAATTTAATTTTAATTTTTTTCTTAACTAAATAGCTATACTCAAATAAAATATAATTCAAAAATTTAATAGACATTCAAAAAATTTTATATTTATTTTGTATCTGATATTTAAATATTTATCATAATTTTTTTGTTAGTGATACTTTAAATATAAAAAATGAAATATTTATTATATAATATCTACTAGAGAACATAAATCTGGAAATTATTTACATACATTTTTATTAACTTTATTTTTTTTTTTTTGCCATAAAACTAAGATAAAAGATTAAATTTTTCATACAAAAATAAAATGTACACTAAATTTTTATTAAATATATTATTTCTTATTATATTTTAACTTTATATTTTTCAAATGTTCCTTTAAAATCCTGAAATAGAAATATACAAAAATTTAAATGCAATAGTAATATAATTTCAAGAATTAGTTGTCATAATGAAAATAAATTAAGTAGAACTAAATTCAAGAATCAATTCAATTCAAATTAAAAAAGAAAATTTAGAGAAAAAAAAAAAAACAACTTTAAAGCACTTTAAAATAAGAAAATTAACATATTAAATTGAAATCAAAATAAATATCAAATAAAATTACAAATACATCACAGAAAAAAAAAAAAATAAAATAAATACCAGACTTTATTTGGACGATTGCTTTTACTAAAAGTTAGTATTTAAAATTAAAAATGGAATTTTTTTTCTCAAAAGCAAAAGTAAAAAAAAATTTTATGAAAATAAAATTAAAAAAAAATTAAAATTATTAAAAAGTATACAATTACATACTAAAATATTCAAGATAAGTGAAATAGATCCACTATTAAAATGTTGTTTTTAAATGACAAAATTATAATTACCAATGTTTTAAGATTTTTTTTAAATATTTTCATTTTTATATTCATGAAAGACTTTCTTTATGAATACCAATCGATTCGTTGAATTTTCTTCAAAAATTCAATAAAATTTGCAATATTAATAAATTTAAATAAACTTAAATATAAATTTTTCAGTAAATTTTATAAGGTTATCATTAAAATAATTTCTTTACAAAATAACAAACACTTTGTTTATTTCATAAATTACAATTTAAGAAAGAATTTAAAAATTTAATACATTAATTATTAAAAACAAATTTTATAATATCGTATAATAATTATATTTTTGTAATTTTGTTATATAAATTCAATTTTTTAATATTACTTTTATAACTACAAAACAGAACAATTCAAACCGATGCAGCTAACATACTAAATTCCAAAATATATTTTTATTTATCTTCAATATATTTTTAAATTACTTTTATACATATTTGATTAATTAGATTTGATAAAGGTGTCCCTTTAAATTTAATATTGTTAATTTTAAATTATAACTCTTTTTAGAAAATAATATATTATATTGATTTGATGATACTTGGTAATTTTAAAATTTGATACTTGTTTTGTTTTATTAAATAAAAAAAAATAAAATTAGCTAGTTTGGAATTTTTGAAAAATATATAAGACAAAAACAAAAGAGAAAAATTTAAAAAGATTTTAAAAAAATAAATATTTTTTTTTCTCTTACCCAGCATTTACACATACAAGTTACTTGCAAGCAAGTTTGTATAATATTAATTGTCAATTAGTTTTTCGAAATGTCAAATTACTTGCTATTATGACGTAGGCGTTTAGCAAGTTAATTTTTGAAAATGTCTTTGAGAAGAAAACAACTAGCTAAGTTTGCTAAGTTTAATTTTTTCAAAATAAAATTCAAAAATTTTAAATAAAAAAAAAAAAAAAAAATCAAATCAACAAATTTTTTTTTGTGAATTTCTCAATATGTCAAATTACTTGCTCAAATTTCTGGCAGCAAAATTTTCTTGCAAGTTGAACTGCAAGTAAACAAGCAAGTAGAAATATTTCAATGTATTAGTAAAATTTTTGTATGTATTGCAACTTTCTTGCAAGTAACTTGTACGTGTAAATGCTGGGTTACTATTTGATTGTAATGATATAAGCTTTAATTATTATTATTAAAAAAAAAAAATTTGTTTTATCTAACAATTATTAATATAATTAAGAATTTTATATGATTTTATTAATAAAATTTAAGCTAATTTCATAAATGAAATCTTTTTGATAATTTATATATGATTGAAAGTCTGATTTGTAGTTAAAAAAAAAAAATTATTTATTTTAGATTGTTTTTTCCTTTAGTTTTATTTAAAAATTTACAATCAAATTTACAATTTTTAATTAAAGAGGACAATTTCTGTTTATAAAAGAAAAACCACATTTTGGATTTTTTTTTTTTTGGGACACCGTCCTAAATATGGACACAAGTATAGTTTTGGTGATCAGTAAGATCTCATTAACACGTATTTCTTTTTTTTTTTTTCGAAAATAGAATTTAATTTACTTTCATGTAATATTATTATAAAATTCATGTAATAATTTAAAACATTGTTTCTTCTTTTTGAGTAATTGTCATATATTTTAAGCTTTAAAAAAAATTTGTATATTATTTTTATTTTCTTATATTATAAATACATGTGTTTTTTATTTTTTTTTTTTTAAATAAATAGAGATTTTACTGTATAATCTGATTTTTACACAGTATTCATTTGTAACAAGAAGAAAATAAAAATATAATAATTCTATAAAATTTTTAATACACTCACTTTACATTTAATTCTAAATACTTTTTTATATAAATATAATTCACAAACTATATTATATTTATTTATATAATAATTTTAATTACACTTCAGAAAAATAAAATTTTAAAAATTTAAATAATTAAATTTAAAATTTAAATTTAATTATTATAATTAAAACTTGTTTTTTTTTTTTTAATTTATTTTATATAATTTTAATATTGATCTATTCAAATTCTTAAATATGAGAATTTAAAAAAAAAAATCAATGCTGTGTATTTAAAGATAATATAATATATGTATATGTATGATAAAAAAAAAAATATATATGAATATATGTATATAAGTTTTGAAAATCTAAATAAATAAATAAATATATATATATATATATTAAATGCAATAATATTGTTTAATTTTTATGAAATCTTTAACAATAATAAATTTAATTATCCTGTAATATTTTATAAGATAATTAAATATTTATAATTATTGAACAATTGTTTAATTTGTTTAGTAAATTTATAAAATTAATTTGTTACTTTCAAAGTACATAATTATTTTTATTTTAATTTAGGGAATTTTCGTTTCAATTCTTACTTAGGTTTTAATATAAAGTAATACCGATAAACACAAACTTCAAAATCTTCAAAAATAGGATGTTCCAAAATGATAGCTTTTGCTTAAAGTTTTAAAGGAATAGTTTAAGTTTTTTTTTTTATAAGTATTATAAATAAAGCAAAAATATTATTTAATTATGATGAAGAGCATAATAGATAATATGTTAAATATTGAAGAATTACTCGAGTATATTGCAAATCTGCAAAAATAAAATATTCAATTTCAACAGATTTGAAAATATGTGTGAACTATGAAGAGACTTTTTCAAATGCATGCTCTTCATAAACAGATTTTTTTCCCTTTTTAAATATTAGAGTTAAATATTAAAAAAAAAAAATATTTCTTTTACGTTGATACATTCTGCGGTGTAAAATATATTTCTATGACTCTTAATTCTTATTTTTGTACATGACATCGTCGGTATAAACGAAATGAATTTCAGTAATGTGTACATGTAGTTCTTATCTTGTACTTGATTTTAATTTTTTTACATTTATTATTTAGCAGAATCACGAAATAATATTTAATTGTTCAAGAAATCTTTGACAACATAATACTGTTGCTTAATTGGAATTACATGTAGATGAGCTAAAAGCCCTTAATTCTAAACTGCAATTACAATATATACTAGTAAAATTACAAAATTTAGTTCAGTAACCTTATGAAAATTATTTGAATTGTATTCTTATTTTAATACGACTTTGCTAATATTTTGAAATCAGGGATAACTCTTAGGTGGTATTTATTATTTTGTAGTCATTTTCTTGGTCTCTAATCGTGAACGTATTTAAAAATTTTTAATGAAACTATTAATCTGCCTAATGGAAAATTACAAATGGTGCAGAATTATTGTTTCTAATAAACAGGGGCATAATACGTGTTACAGAAATATTATTTTTCTTAAATTAGTTAAATAAAAAAAAATATAATTATAATAATTAATGTTTATTGTATTGTGAAAGGAGTTTTTTTTTTATTCATATTATTTTAACATAATTTATTATTCACTTAGATTTATGCACTAATCTATAATTGAATCTTTTACAATAATGTATGTGTATAGTATGTTCTTAATTGACTTTAATTATTTTGATTCAAGTAATTGACCATTCATATAATTTTTTTTTTTAAATATGTATGTATTTCATCAAATTTTATATTTCAATTAAATTTTATATTATTTAAAACTTTGTTTTAAATATTCATCAGCTGTATTATCCCAAATCTCATCAATTTTATTTAAATTTTCTTTCCATAATGATTCAAGTAAATTCCAACCAGCTTCTTGTGTCGTTAAAACATAATCATTACCTGGATCTAAAGAATGTGTATATGCACCTAAAACAAGACTTTGACATAATCTAGCAGCAACACATTCTTTTAAAATTTCTTTTTCCATAAGACTGATAACACGAATTGATGAATATCCAGCAATTACTAAACCACCAGTAGCTAAATCTTTTTCTTCTAACATCATATAAGTCATTGCGATTGCTAATTCAAATATTAATGGTGCAATATGTGTATCACCAAAATCAATAACACCAATAATATGATAATCTTTTAAACCTTTTGGTATTTCAACTAATATATTTTGTTCATTGAAATCACCATGTATTACACCGCTTTCATATTGATCAAAATTTTTTAATACTTTCTTTTCAAATGCTTCTATAACTTGTTCAACAATTTCTTTTCGTCCATGATCTTGTAAAACAAAAAGAAAATCTTTTAATTTTGGTACAGCTTCCAATTGCCATATAGATTTATGATTTTTATAAGCATCATGATGAAATCTCTGAAAAATTCAAACATATTTCGAGTAAAAAAATCAAAAAAGGAATATTTTAATTATTAAATAACCTTTAAAATTCTGTCCATATTAGCAATATATTCACCACATTGATAATAAATATGTTTGGTTTTATCAATTTGATGAAACATTTCTCCTGGTATATACTCTAATAATCGGACAACATGATTCTTTCCATTTAAATTTTCAACTGAATAATATTTTCCATAAACATTTTTAACTGGATTTGAACACGTTAAACCATTTTCTCCTAAAATATACATACATACATATGTATAATTTATAAATTTTAAAATATATTAAATAAAATTATTATAATATTTTCGGTAATATAATTTTCTAATTGATTATTCATTATTATAACTGCTTAAGCTAAGCTTGATGCAAATTAACAATGCACGAAAGAACAAAACAAATTATCACTGAAACTTACTTAAATGAAGCATTATCTCAGTTTGAGCTTCAATAAATTGAACTTTTTCAGAATCTAAGGAATTTAAAACTTTCAGAACGTATCCATGTGACCATGTATTTGTTAATATTGGATTTTTTATTGATCTGAAAAATAATAAAAATTTTTATATAAAATTAATTTTTTGATATTTTTAAAATATATAATATTCACTTAATTAAATTAATGAATAAAGGTGAATGAAACTATAAAAACAGTAAGTATTATGGCAATAATTTAAATTAAAGCTTAATTATTTTAATTATGTAAAATTTTCAATTTGTTTAATAAAAAAATTTGTTTGAATACCATATTCGGGGTTCTCATTACCTTTCAACATTCCAAAGAAAGCTTTAAATGGTTGTGTGATAATAGTTTAGTATATTTAGTTGATAATCATAAAATAACCTTATTTTACATATTATTTTAGAATTTTTTTTTTTATATTTAATATTTACAAATTGTTTTATTTAATACTAATTAGTAATTTTAAATTTGTGTTGCAAATGTAATGTGATTATGCTATAAAAAGAATCGAAATCGAAAATGGAATAATTCACAATTGACCATTTACATATTATGTAAATTTAGATTTAAATTAAATCCAGTATAAATAAATTACGGGAAAGCTTTTTCAAAAAATCATGAAATAAATACGATATTTTGATAGAATGAAAAATTTTGTATAAGTATTTTATCAAATTTAATTTAAGAAAAATTTTAAAATCTGAAATGAATTATTTATTTTCACCTTTAGAATAATTATCATTAATTTGTGTTTTAATTTGTTAAAATACTATAAAATGAAATACTGGATTGTCACTATTAAATTTGCTTACACATATGCATATTATGTTCAAACAGATACAGTGATGTTCCAAATATTACGAATACCTAATTTAACAAGCGTTCCATTATAATGAACACAGCTATTGTGAATGAATTTTTTGAATTAAGTACTTTATATTATATCGAATGTCAAAAAAAAATATTTTGTGTCTATATAGCGAACACACCAATTTTTGTTGTGATGTTCCTTACACTATCCGTTATATAATTTTATACCATTAACTTATATATATTCACATTCTATTCATATTTTGATATGTTTTGGTCAATTTTAGTCGATTTTTTCTGAGATTAGTCGTGTTTTTAATAATGGTACATAGAAGTATCAGAATATAAAAGAAAATTGAAAATTTTTTGTACAATCGCCATTAATTTTTTTATTACCTACATATTTGAATTAATAAACACAATTTTCACTTCATTTTAGTACATATGTTCTAATTTTAGATATATTCGATATAACGCATGGTCTTGTTACAACGAACGATCGCAATATCGTATAGTTTGTTATATTGAAACACCACTGTATACGTGATTACACTGTATCTAAAAATTTAATCTTTAAAATTCAAATAATTTTTAAGACAAACACTAAATTGTATGATAGAATGATAATAATTATTATGAATTGATAAGTATATCAGTATATATATATATATATATATATACATATATATATATATATATATATATATATATATTAATTAAATAACATAATATATACATATATATTAATTGAAAAAAAATTAAGCAACACCTTAATATTATATTTTAAGAAAATTCTAAAAATATCAAAAAGAAACCTTGAATCTGTATTATCAAATGTTAACTTCAATTTATTATCGTTCATATTTTTAAATAGAATATTATGTACATATTTAAATATAGATTTAAAAAATAAATAAAAAATAATAAATTATAATTTATTTACTTGTGTAATTTATTTTTCATTATCTTTTAAATTTTCGGGTTATAAAAATGTCATAAAACTTTCCCTTTTTTTTTTGTTTTTAATTTTTTAAAATTATTTGACATAAAAATATTTTACTGTAAAGAATCATTCTTATATTAAATACATTGTTAGACCTGGATTATGAAAAAAAAAATGAATGTTCCTTTTTCAGTAAAAAGTCCAATTAATATAATATAGTTGATTGACATTTATAGTACAATTAATTATTTAAAATGTCAAAAATGTCAAGTACAATCGATCAATCACCATCTAATACGTTATTTTAATAATATTGTCGTATTTTAATTTGAAAAATATTGATTTTTATATGTATTTTTTTAAAAAGTTTAAGTACCTAAAACGGAATTATAATTATATTATCTTTTTGAAACTTTTACGGGATTAGGTGCTCTTATACATATTGTGCTAATCCATTCAAAATTGTTATTAATTATTTTTGTTGTGATTATTATGAATCACTGTTAATTAAATTAAATTCCGTATATATATTTATAAAACATACTATTATGGTGATTTAAAATGAGTTTGATATTAACCCCTAACTGGCAACTAAAACACATTAATCTCCGTATGTTGGTAAGAACGTATAAGGTATACATATACTTATATTTATGTAGAAATTATACACCGCATAAATTTATATAAATTTCAAAACATTTACATTATTTAATTTTTATTTGCTTTAAAGTAACAACAAATAATTATGGATTACAAAATTAATTACATACATTTTGTAATATTTTTATGTAAGTTAATAAAATACCACATCAATGTCGTATAAAATAAATAAATGTGTATATAAGTACATTAAGTACTCTATAATTAAGAGTAATATTTACATATGTAAATTCATATACACGAAAATAATATTATTTTTTTTTTTTAATTTATTATTTAAGATATTTCAATATTGTAAATTGTAATCCTAAAATCAAGGACACGTCTAAGCTCAGAAGAAAATGCAGAGTGGTTTAAAAAAAAATTTACCAAAATAATTTAATACTGATCTGATATTGCACCAATATAAGTACTACAATAAAAGCAGACTTTAGGGCTGTTCACAACACTGCGACACTGAGACAGCGACATTTGCAAGAAGTGACAAAATATTATTCAGTTTATTCATTCAAATATAGTAGGTTATATTGCTGTAATATACGATACCGACACTCGCTGAATTTCGCGAAATTGTCCATTTGTTGCTGCAGAATGCGATGACAACTGAATGAAAAACGTCATTTTTAAGTTGGAAATTCCAAGAAAGACGATTATTATATTATAATTTCAATATAAAACTTAAAAAAAATTTAAATAAAAATGAATTTTTTGAGATTGTTTTTAATTAAACTATTGTAACTGTTGCTGCCATCTAAATTGCGATAACAATATTTCTGCTGTATTTCGTACGACTCACGCTGTCGCATTGTCGCAGCAATGTGAACACTGTATTAAACCAAAAATAGGATTTCAAAAGGGGCACATTGGATTTTTCATCAAAAATACATATGATGTGCATTTGATACACACACGCATACATTAAATGCATACATATAGAGATACATATTCATAGCCTATATATATACTATATATTATAAAATATATACTTACGCATCAACATCTATTAAAAAATTACGATCATCATATGACTTCAATTCTTTTATATTTTTTGGTGTAATACCATATAATCTTTCAGATAAATTTTCAATATCTGTTTTATTAACTTCTGGTTTTATTTTACTACCTGGTTTTAAAAGTTTTGAATCGGATTCTGATAATTGATCTTGATTATTAATCTGTTGTTGTGTTATTGGTGGATTTGTAATACTAATTTTACGTATCATTTCAAATATTTCACTTTTTGGTTTATTTTGTGTTGTTATTGTTATATCATCATTAATTAAAGAAAATTTCCCTTCAGGACCTGATTTCTCTGATGATTCAATTTCTTCATTAAGTTCCATTTTATAAGTATTTCGATTTGACATTATTGTATAGCTTCCTATAGCTACGTCTTCTTTTTTAAATTAAAAATGACTATTAATCCGAGAAAAAAAATATTAATCTATTTGTAATCTTTAAAATTTGGTATAGAATAAAGATTATTTAGAGTCTTTTTTTTTCTTTGTTAATTTAATTAGATAATGACGTTTAAAATGTCTTGTTATAATGACGTTATTTTTATTGGCAATATCGCCGTTATCAAAATTTGTTATATTTTGTAGCAACGCACTAATTAGAGCTTCAAAAGAAAAGTATTTACAACCTTAACTGTTGAAAGTTCACCGATAACTGAAATATTAAATGTAAAAACAAAATAAGACCTATGTCAGTAGAGATTAGATAAAAAAAAAATTTTAAATTTTTACTTCTTATTTTTTTTTTTATTTTGTGAATTTTATTTATTATTTAGTTGTGTAAATTAAAAAAAAAAACTTCTTTTGTACAAGTGACTTTAGAAATATGTTCTGAATTTTTTTTTTCATTTTTGTGGTATAGGTACTTATTTAGAGTGACTTACATTTTAAAATTTAAGTTACATATATATACATACATACATGCATTTTAAATATACATACATAAATTTTTATTATTGCTTGTTATAAAAAAGTATTCGAGTGTAAAAAGTTTTCTATTTTCATTATTTATTTATTTTTTTAATTTTTCAAGATACAAAATAAATTAGAAGCTTAAAATGCAAAATGCTTACATACATATAATATGTATATATAATATATTGTAAATTCATAGCTACTTATACATTATCACATATATATGAATATGGAATTAAAAATGTAAATAGAATGAAGCTGACAAAAATTAAAATCTTGTGACTTTTCTGGATCAATTTGGGGTGTGATAATTTGTGGTGAAAATGACAAAAGAGATTTAAATAATACGGTGTTACTCATCATCAAAGTTATTTGGTACAAATTATATTAAATTTTAATAAATAAAATACAAAAAAAAATGGACTTTCTTTAATAATTAAAATGAAAAACAAAAATTATAATTTTAAAAACAAAAACAAAAATTGTAGCATCTTTGAGCAAAGTGATTGACATTGTTGACAATTGTACTTGCGACAAAATACACATTTTTAAAATTATTTGCCATATGAATGCTTTGCTTATTTTTTTTTTTCTTTTGAAATTTATGGGCTGATCCAGGGAGCTCTACTGGAGGGAACTGGTCATCTTCAACGAGATATACAAAATACGGTATGGTTTCGCCAAAACTGGATAGAAAAAGATTCCCCTTCTCGGAGACCAGTTTCTTTGGATTAATCTTGAACTTTAAACTAAACAAGGGACCCAACATTAGGAAGCGAGTGACGAAGGCGAATACTGGCCTTACTCGTGCAAGAGATCCAACGTTTTATTGGCTTTATACCGCGGTACTGATATCCGTGCCCGGTGTGGTGAACTGCTTTAGTCAATCTACCTGAAACTGGCGAGTGAAAAGTATGGCATTGATGTGTATACGGCGTAAAATTCTCCTTATTGATATTATGGGAAAGCAGATATATGCAGGATCGACTGTGCGCCTGACTACTGCATCGCAGTGAATCCTGTGGGCTGCCTAATTGCTTAATCAATGGTGTGAGGGCAGTCATTTTAGTGTGGAAGTCGCTTTTCGCCCCCAGAACACTGTAGCTACTTTCAGGCGGAGATGGCCGCAATAAACGAGTTCTTGAAATGACTGGCGGGCAATGTGATATCACGTAGGTGTATCAGTCAGACATAAAGGCGTTGGAAACGGAGTCGCGTACATTCAGTAGGGTCAAATATTGCACGTCATTCCACATGGCGTAATCGTTCGAAATTGACGTGACTTGGATTCCGGGTTATGGCTTGGATTCCCGAATTCATAGAAACTGCAGAGCAGATGAGCTCGTGAAGATTCTCGTGAGTATTTAACGATTCTCGGGGTCCTACCTGAGAAGGAGTATCTGGGGATGCCTCTGAGCATATGAAAGCTGTTAAGAGAAGGGTTTAAAGCTCAAAAAATTTCATTATTTAATTTTTAAAAAATAATTAAAATTATTTTGTACAAGTTTTACAATAACTGTCTGAAAATGTAAAAATAATACTTATTATACTACCTCATTTTCATATTCAAATTTAATTTCAAATTAATTTTTTTTTTTTTTATTTTTTCACCAAGAAATTAGAAGAGGAGGAGTAATAAGGTAAAGTTTAATTATGATTTCCTTTAAGAACAATTTTTTTTATTCTATTGTATATTCTCATGACCTTTTTTTAAAACAAATAATATTACTGAGAAACCTTTATGTATGTATAAAAAATTATTTTACATGTTCTTAGTTTTAAAATAAAATTTTATTATAATTAAAAATTATTGAGTATATTTTTGTATTTAGTAGAAAATGTATAGAAAAATAAAAGTGAAGTTATCTCTGACATTCATAAGCCATAATTTTATAAGCAATATAATGACCTCATGTATACATATATTAAAAAACGTTCTATGGGAGTATTATACAACTTTGAAATCTATGAACATTTAATACTCACGGTATATATATCACTTTCAACTATATAGCCGCTTATGTTAATATAAAAATTAGTAGTTCACTTCAGAACGATAGTAACACACATTTATTTCAATAGATGTCCGATAGATGTCCGATAGATGATTCAAAATTTTTATATGGAAAATAATTAATATCGAAGTTTAAATTTTGTATTTTAGTTTTTATACTGTTAAAATAGCGTTTAATTTACGAAATACTCTCATTACTATAATACTTAATAAATGGCAATAGAATATTATGTATTTGATATTATATACGAGAACGTTTATAATACCATATTACAAACTTGTGTATTATAAATAATATAACAATAAATGAAACTATATATAACATTATGTTTTTATTTTTATAATTACTTAATTATATTATTGATAAATGCATTGCAATGAAAATAAACTACTGTGTAAATATTTAAAATACAATATGAAATAAACCTTATTTGCCATAGATCTAATCACATATAGATAATAGAACTATAAGCTAATGCAAGGTATTTGAATGCATATACTTATATAGAGAAACTTTTTAAAGTTTAAAATGAGCTTATCAACATAATTATAAATATATGTATATATATATATATATATATATATATATATATATAATTTGCATATATACAAAAAAAATGGCCTTTCAGGGACGTTTAATATACAAGATAATGAAATTTTATTACAGAATTATTAATTTTTCTATTATATGATTAGAATATTAGAGTATTACAAAGTGTTAAAGGTAGAATATAATATTATTTAGATGAATCTTTATTTATAAAAAATTTGACAAATATAAATGGAAATCTTAAATTTTACAAAATAATAAAAGATTAAATCGCAAATAAATTAAAATAAATTGATTGTGAATTGAATGCCGAAAATTCTGCTATAGCCGATAATTTGGGTCGCCTAATTGTTCTTATTGTAACTGGAGATTTGAATATAAATATCAATTAATTTAATATTATTTATCCATATAATTTATTAAATTTCATTTGCAACCTAGTATTTTCTTTATTTGAATATTTAGTAATTTGTTTGCTGATTAATCTTTAACAATTTTGCTTAACTTAATAGGGTCATAAATATAGTCTACAATTCCTATTTTTATTTACATGTATACATGCAGTACAAATGTTGTTATACAGGTACATATTATATAAGCTATTTATATGTATATATCTAAATAAAATATATTATTTTCGTAAAAACTTGCTAATTGATGAAATGATAAACAACCAAAATATTCATGATGGGTCGGTCAAAATTTCGATAAACTTTTCAAATTTTTGTGTGAAATTTTCTAAAATTTCATATAACATAAAAGAATTTCTATCTAATAAAAAGTATAAATATTATTAATTTTAATTTATATGTATAAACACAAATGTACATACATAGTATACATATATAATGTACAAATATATGAATTATGTTTTAAATTTATTTTATTTATTAAATAAATTACGACGTTTTAAAATAAAATTTAATTTATTTCTTCTGATTATTTTACTACTTAAAAAATTATATATACTCGTGTACATAGTAAACATTATTGTACATACATACAAATACATAAGAATATCATTATAGTGCAACGATCTACCTTATAATTCTTGTTATTATTTAAATGTAAATAATTAATTAATAGTATATATAATTTATTTTTCTAATGTTTGGTAAAATTTCAAATATCCAGTGCGAGAGGAAGAAGAAAATTTATTTGTAAGACCACAGTAATTGTAACCAATGTTCCCATTTGTGCCAAAAATTCCTGCACTTTTTAAAATTTTTTGCACCTTAATTTTTTTTTGCATTTTGCTTTTTAAAAACTTTTATAATTATGCTATTAAATTTGCCCAAAAAATATTACATAGCTGATTTTTGCAATATTAACAAATAAGTTCTTAGAAGATGTAAGTTCATAGTTCTAACTTTAAAAACGCTGTAGAAAATTCGATTCGTTTCAATAATGCATTACGAAAATTGTGATATTCTTCTCGCAAACAATGTTTAATAACAAAAAATTAAATTTATAAATAGCTCGGCTTGCTTTCATATAGTTATTCTAAAAGCACAATTGTACGTTTCTTGTAAATTGTGAAATTTCCCAGCGGGAACACTGATTCATAACGTAACATAAAAACTGACAAAACACTTAAAAACTGACGCAAAAAGATTTCCAAAGACAACCTATGTATGATCCTGTATAGTACGAACACCTAAATTTATATGTTATAAAAACTTTGAAAATCTTGAATTTGACAGCAATTACTTTAATGCGCTTAATTTATATTTTCCGTCAATAAAATATTTAATTAATCGATTTACTTAATTTTTCAATATAATTTTCTGAAATGATATTTAAAGTGAATAATATTTTAAACGAAATTATAACAAATTATATTAAAAATAAAACACCAAATAATATCATAAAATGCATATATTTTATAAGAAAATTTACTCGACATTTCAACACATTTGTATAAATTGAATTAAAAATAAACTTTATCAAATTTAATTTGATTACATTAATTTGTATATAAATTTTATTTAAACGCATATAACACATAATGATACAAAGTACGTAAATGTACATTATACTTATTGTTGTAATAACAATTTAATTTTACAGTTGAAATATTTATTTAAAATTAACAGAATAAAAATATTAGCAAGCATTTTAATTTTACACAGAAAGAACAGAAAGAGATCCACACAGTGGCGGCTAACTGAGAATT